TTAGACACCTCCATGTTTGTCCTCAAGAGTGGATCCGACTACATCTATCTACTTGTATACGTGGATGACATTCTAATCACCGGAAGCAGCAAAGCCTTAATCTCCAACATCCTTGGCTCACTTGCAGACCGTTTCTCCGTCAAAGACTCTGAAGACCTCAACTATTTCCTTGGTTTCGAAGCACATCGCACCAGCAAAGGTCTTCACCTGTCACAACGGAAATACATCACCGACTTGCTTCAAAAGTACAACATGAGTGATGCAAAACCGGTTCAGACTCCCATGGCATCCGCTCCAAAGCTCTCCATTCACTCTGGCACCTCACTCTCTGACGCCACTGAGTATCGGAGACTTGTCGGAAGCCTCCAATACTTATCATTCACCAGACCAGACATAGCCTACACCATCAACAAACTGTCACAATTCATGCACAAACCGACAGACATCCACTGGCAGGCTGCTAAACGAGTTTTAAGGTATTTAGTGGGAACTCCGACGCATGGTATATACTTCTCTGCAATTAATCCTCTGCACCTCCATGCTTTTTCCGATGCTGACTGGGCTGGAGACTGTGATGATTATGTCTCTACCAATGCTCACATCATATACCTTGGCAAGACACCAGTAGCATGGTCCTCAAAGAAGCAGAAAACGATTGCGAGGTCCTCTACAGAAGCAGAATACCGTTCAGTGGCTAACTCCTCAGCTGACATCCGCTGGGTCTGCAATATACTTACCGAACTTGGAATCACCTTATCGACTCCGCCTGTCATCTACTGTGATAATTTGGGAGCTACCTTTCTTTGTGCCAATCCCATCTTTCACTCACGAATGAAACATGTGGCTCTTGACTACCACTTCATCAGGGGACAAATCCAGCAAGGGATCCTTCGAGTCGCTCACGTGCACACCAAAGACCAACTCGCTGATGTCCTCACCAAACCTTTACCACGTGCAACATTCACAGAACTTCGAAGCAAGATTGGCGTAGCTCCCGCTCCTCCAATGTTAACGGATTCTCTCAATCATCGCCACAATCATTCACTCTGCTATTTTGATCTCTCAATCATTGCCTTAAATGTCGTAATATCTTATTTTTGTAATTAGCTCCTTCTAGAGATCTCTCTCGTGTATATATTTGTAATCTCTGTCAATAGCAATATACAAGAAAGTATTCTTTCTCATAGCCACTTCTCCTCAGTTATGTTCCAAGTTTGGCTCACATTGATTTAGCAACTTAAGGCAAAAGCAAAAGGTGTGATTAGTCGATGTAACTTACTTCATTATTTTTCTTATTTATCGTAAATTTATAGTCATTTTTACTAATCACTAGATTTTGGATGCACAGGAATGTTTTATTTTTTATTTCTAATATAAGTTGCATTTATCTTTTTTTGTTTAGATATAATTTATTTTTGTTATTTATTTTTTTAAATCAAAAAATTGTTATCATATTTTAATTTTAAACAGTAAAATTTGTATATTAGTAGAATAAGAGTATACATTAATTAAGTATACATTGATCTAATTTTAATTATATACTTTGTTATTATGTGAATTTAGATTTACACATAAACAATCTATATATCTATGAATTTGCTAATCAATCCGTTTAGTTGTCTTAAATCATTTTTAATATCTTACATGTTTTGACAAACTAACCTGTATAAGACTATAATTATAATTGTATAACCTTATAAATATTTACTAATATGGAATATTTGGACCAATTGATTATGAAAAAATATAATAAGATATTTATTTACTATTTGTGCTATTAAAAAAATGTATATATATATATATATATATATAAACGGGTTAACCTGTTAGTTTAATTGTCTCAAATCATCTTAATATCTTACATGTTTTAATAAATTAACTCATAGACCATATATATATATATATATATATATATATAACTCTAATCAGCTCGATCATATTATTGTATAATATAAATATTTATTAATCTCAAATATTTGATATTTTAGACCGAGTGTTTATGATAAAATACGATAAATATTTATTTACTATGCATTTTTATAAAAATATTATTTAAATTTAAAATTTTAAATTAAATCTTTTCTGTATTTAAGAAATTCTAAAGTATTAAAATTATTATCTAAATTTTCGTAATAAAATTTAATTATAATTTTTTTGAATTTTTTAAATTTAAATTAAATTGAATGCAAATTTTTGTAACTAAATTTAATTAAATTTCTAATAATTTGAAATTTAAATTAAAGATGACCTAGATTTTAGGATATCTAAGAATATCTAAATTAATAACTAATTTTCGAAAATTAAATATAAAAATAAAAAAAATATTATAAAAAAAAAACTTTGGGAGTGTTTGGATGTAAACACTAGATGTGCTTCTGTTTTAATTAAATAGATACAAGAAAATTATAATAAAATATCTTAAGTTGCTGATACAGCCGATTTATTCTGAAATAAGCAACCCTAAATTACTGGACCCAAGCCTTATACACGAGTGGTTATATATGTGATAATTGATTTCTTCGTTAGGAAATCAACATTTACAATCCAACCTCCTCAATCTTAGTATCAACATCTCAACTTCTTTTTTTTTTTGATATCTCAACTTCTAAAGAAAGAAACCAAAGAAAATCAATTTTAGATGCATCATTCTTAAATCATAGTAGGTTCAAATAAGAGTAAGGCAATTTCCTCAATGTAGTTGAAGAAAGAAATAAAATCTGTAATTTGCTCCCTTCTATGGTTTAAAGACCGATTCTTTTAATCTTCCGCATCTCCATTTCCCGTGTGGTTTGGCCCTCGCTGCTTGAGCCAGATGGGTAAAGTCCATAGTCACTGGTCGGGTTACTGTATTGGTCCGTGTGTTGTACTCTATTCTTTGACAAGTTTGAAGTCGTTTTCACTCTATTCTCCTATGAGAAAGGCTTTGATTCTTCTAGGCCACTAACTATGGATTTGTTGTACTCGCTGAACTACACGAAGTTACTCTTGTGATCGGTCCAAAAATGATGAGTATCATTCACAAATCACCACTCTCCACGCTCAACAGCAAAAACCAAATCAAGCCGTCTTCACATAACGACTCTCTGACTCTTGTTACCACTCTGTCCCAAAATAAATTTCCTTCGGGTCCATCAGTTCCAAATACAGATATTGTGTACACATTGTGAAAACTCTGTCCATACTCCATAAATCTCTGTTTAAGTCTCTGTCTGCCTCAGAGAGACGTGAAACCTTAGTGGAGGGGAGAAGCCTGTGATCCAAGTCAAATAAATTACACAGTTCCCAATTTGCAATTGGTATAAATATTCTCGACTTAATTTTGCTTGTAACAATTGACCATTATGCATTCAATATTTATCTGTATAATATTTCCTGTTAATTAACTTCTTATACGCTCTCTAATATATATACCAATTGCGACTGTTAAAAGTTAAAACCCTAATTTCTCTTCGCTTTCTTCCTTGAGAGATAAGCTCAAAAATCACAAAGAAAACACAACAATGATTTCCGATCTTCCACTGAATTTAGAATCGACTATACTCTCTAGGGTTCCTGCCAACTCTCTAAGCAAACTACGATCTACGTGCAAAAGATGGTATGCGTTATTCAAAGATCCGAGATTCATCAAAAACTGGGGTACGCAAGTGATCTTAAAGAAAGATTATGGGGTTTATTCAGGTAGCGTCAGTCTCCATGGAATCCACAACAGCATTGATCCATCCTTTGAGGTTACATGTAAACTTAGCAGTTAAAGGATTCAAAACGTGTCGAAATATCTAAAATATTCCACTGCAACGGTTTATTATTGTGCACCACCAAGTACTATAGACTCGTGGTTGTGGAACCCTTGTACTGGTCAAACCAGGTCGATCAGATCCAATAATCGTTTGTACTCAATGGTCCATACGTATTTTCTAGGATACGAAAACAAGAACAGATCTTGCGGTGGCTACAAAATCTTGAGCATTGGCATTTATTTGGTTGAACAGAAACGCCCTAGAATTGAAATCTATGAGTTCAACTCTGATTCATGGAGGGCTCTTGATGACGTCAAAGGTGACTGGACAGTCTTGACCTACTGGTGTAATTTATCGTATGGTGTGTCTTTGAAGGGAAATACTTACTGGCTTAAAAATTACCATTATGTTAGTTCCATAGTCATGTTTGACTTCACAACAGAGAGACTTGGACATATCTCTCTTCCTTTTCATAATGTTTTATTGGGTGAGATGACTCCGGTTCTATCAGTTGTCAGAGAAGAGAAACTTGCGTTGTTAAGGTTTGATAGAAAATCATCAGAGATGAAGATATGGGTGAGCAACATGAAGATTGATGAGCCCAAAAATTTGTCCTGGAGTTATTTTTTAGTAGTGGATTTCGATAAATTAATGATACAAGATATGACGAAAATGGTCAGTTTCTTGGTGGATGAGGAGAATAAAATGGTCGTGTATTGTGATGAATGCATAGGCAATGCATACGATCAAGAGATCATAAGAATTTATATAGCTGGAGAGAATATGCATAAAGAAGTTTATAAAGAGACTAAAAAGAGATCATTACCCTATGATCGGCCACTTCTCCTCAGTTATGTTCCAAGTCTGGTTCACATTGATTTAGCAACTTGAGGCAATAGCAAAAAGTGATCATGATCATCAGACGATGTAACTTTCATCATTGCTATTTTTCTAATTTCTCGTATATTTATATTCACGTTTGCTAATTACGCTAGATAATATGATTAAATTATCTTAAATTGCTGAAACAGTCGATTTATTCTGAAATAAGCAACCCTAAATTACTGGACCCAAGCCTTACAGAGGTTATGTGATAAATTTGTTGGTAGATTTATAAAGAACACTTTTTTGGAGCTTAACCGAACTAGGCTAAAGACAAATCAAAAGGTGTTCTTCATTAAGAAATCCACATTTCAGCTTTAAACCCCAAAAATAAAGAAAATAAAGAATGAAAGAATATATTCAACCCAACATCACAACTTCTAAAGAAGAAACCAAAGCAACAATCTTTAAATGCATCATACTTTATATCGTAGTTGTTTCAATTAGAGTAAGGCAATTTCCTCAAATCTTTACAGTTAAAAAAAAAAAAGAATCAAAAAGAAAAAATCTGCATTTCCTCCCCTCTATGATCTAAAGAGAAGGTCCACCATAACCTTGACCGGGTCTTTTAATCTTCCCCATCTCCATTTCACGTGTGGTTTGGCCCTCGCTGCTCGAACCGGACGGGTACAGTCCATAGTCACTGGTTGGGTTACTGTACTCGCCGGTCGTGTTGTACCCTTGAGTCCCAAGTGCCATTTTTCTAAACTTCTTCATGTCCTCATTGTATTGGCTCGAGTCATAATCAGTGCTTCCTCCATATGAGCTGTATACATTGCTCTGACCCGGTCTCATCCCTTCGTTCAAATCTGACAGCGATACGTTTCCTTCTAACGCACGTACAATCTGCTCGTTTTTTAACACCAAAACACTCACTCTATTAGCATTATTAACATTTTAAATGACACAATTAGCAACAACAGCAAAAATATGCAGCTAAGAAACTAAGTTTCACAATGGTCGGATAAGTAAAGATCTTTTTTCATCCGGTGATGTTTTATATAGATGGCTACGCATAAAAACCGAACCGAACCAAAATTTATCACGGAAACAAAACCAAACCCTAACTTTTCAAAGAAGAAAATCTAAGCTTGCAAAGGAAGTTTCCGTTCAAAACCAAAAACCGGACCAAAACCAATCTGCAACTGAGGTTAGCGCAAGCTGAAACGACCCAAATAACCCAAAATTCTTTACAGAATCCTGTTCTTAACTAAGAATAGGTTTAGTTTATACAAAATATAGATGATATAGTGAAAGTTTATATAATACAAACCCTTACTAAACTGAATTTTCATTTAGTTCTAGTTAGCTAATACTTCGAAACCAAGTACCAAACCAAATGCTCATTAGAGAAAATGCATAATTTGGGTAAAATAAAGTTACCTGGCTCATGCGAGGTCTGCGACGAGCTGAATGACGAACACAAGCCGCAGCACAAGCAACCATGCGAGCCATCTCCTCTCTGTCATACTCATTCTTCATCTTTGTATCAGCCAAACCCTCAAAGTCTCCTTCCTCAGATGCTCGGTTAAGCAACGGTCGTGCCTGTTTTCACATTATCCACACAGAGCATTCGCTTCACTCAACCGTTCAAAATGTGAACTTTAGATTATTTGCAAGTCAGAGTAAGTACCCAGTCAACTAAGCTGTCATCAACATAGACATTGTTTGCATCCACAGGACGACGTCCGGTTATTAGCTCCAAAAGCACAACACCAAATGAGAAAACGTCAGATTTCTCGGTGAGCTTTCCACTTGCAGCGTATTCAGGAGCCAAATACCTAAAATCCAAAACCAAAAAGTTTCAGAATTTGCAAGAAAAGGATCCACACAGAAACTTTAGGTTCAAGATTATCTATTTACCCAAAGGTTCCCATCACGCGTGTAGATACATGAGTGTTGGTATCAGAAGCAATCTTGGCAAGACCAAAATCAGCCACCTGAAAGATATAGGAATAGCTTCAGTGACACAAATCACAAAAAGAAATAAGCTTCACAAACATATCGCATAACAGATAAAATCATACCTTAGCTTCAAACTTGAAATCCATCAGTATATTTGCCGCCTTGATATCACGGTGAATGATTTTCGGATTGCCTACAAACAAGAGTGGCTCAGACTCCATTCATCAAACATCTATACATCATTTTTCAGATTTTAGACTTACAGTCTTCATGAAGATATGAAAGTCCTTTAGCAGATCCAAGAGCAATCTTCAATCTTGTGCTCCATTCCATTGTAGGCCGCCCTTTCCCTGTAAACAAATTCAATTCCCAAAACAACAAAACCATCAGTCCATCACTAATTGGTATAACAAAGCATGTTCTGCCACAACAAAGAGTTTAAGCTTTTTGGTCTAACCATGAAGGTGAAACTCGAGATTGTTGTTAGGAACAAACTCATAAACAAGCAATCTTTGAACACCGGCGATGCAATATCCGACAAGAGACACCAAATGCTTGTGATGAACTCTGCTAATGATCTCAACCTCTGCCTGAAACTCTCTCTCTCCCTGACCACTCCCAGCTTTCAACTGTTTCACAGCGACTTCTTTCCCACTAGGCAATATGCCCTTGTGCACGTAACCGAACCCTCCTTGTCCTAACAAATTGGCCTCAGAGAAGCCATTGGTGGCTCTAGCTAGCTCCTCGTAAGTGAAAGTGCTTTTGGAGAAGCCCAACACAAGCCCTGGAGACGGTGGAGGAAGAACTGGTAGATCAGAGTAATCGGAACCGCCGCTGCTGCTCATGAAAGGCGGTGGTGGAGGCGGCGGAGGCGGTGGAGAGGGAGGCTTTGGTGGTGGAGGAAGTGACGTCACAACGTGATCTGACGGTCGTGATGCGTTTGGTTGCTGCCAGTATTGTTGTTGTCCACCGTAAGGTCCTCCGGCTGAGAAAACAGAGGAAACATCTAAATCTCAAAAAAAATTGAAAATTTCTTTAAAAAGTAAATATCTTTTCGCATAATAGCAAATCTGAAATTGGAGAATTAGCATGCAAGAAAATAAAAATCCTAAATTTGTGGGTAATTAAGCAATTTCGGTTCAAAGATTCGATTTTTGATTTGGTTCAAGATTCAATTTTTATGAGATCTTAACCTTTGTGACCAGGAGGAGGTGGAGGGGGAGCATAGTAAGCAGCTTCGTCATCGTCTCTTCGTCGTTTCTTCTTACAAAGAAGACAAATCAGAGTCAGTACAACAAGCACAGCGACTCCTCCGATGGCGATTCCGACCACAACTCCTGTCGATAATCCGCCGGAAGAGGAAGACGGCGGCGAAGAGGTTGATGGAGTTCGAGGAGATCCTCCTCCTCCTCCTCCTCCGCCTCCGCTCGAGGGATTCGACGGTGGTCCCGAGGTTGGAGATGGAGGGCTACGAGTGGTGGATCCAGGAGGAGTTGGAGTGGTGGGAGACGGCGGAGATGGGGAGTCTGGTGTTGAAGGAGACGGCTGAGGAGGAGAAGTTGAAGATCCAGGAGGAGTTGGAGACGGAGGAGGAAGAGAAGGAGGCAATGGAGAAGACGGAGGAGGAGATGTTGAATTAGTAGATGGCGGCGGAGGAGAGGAAGGAGTGGTGGTGGGGGGAGGAGAGGAAGCTGGAGGAGGAGTGGTTGTGGTGGAGTTTGTGGGAGGAGACGGTGGAGATGGTGACGGAGTAGTCCCCGGAGACGGCGCCGAGGACATTTTTGTTTCGATCTAATCAAAAAGGTGAAGAAGAGAGAGGAGGAGGAGGAAGAAGAAGAGAGAATTGAGAATGTTGAAAGCACAATATTAATCTATATCAGGAATATTACCTA